GGGTGGCTGGGGGCGGCAGATATCACGTTGGAGTGGTTCTTATACACTATTAATTTACCCCCTACTTCCTTAATGACCTTCCAAAATTTCAAGTCGATATATTTTAAAACACCAGAAATAATTCCATTTAAAGTTTTCGCGCGGACACCCGGTATAGTACTATTGAACTAAAAAAAGCTTCTCCTGTAAAATGCCACGTGGTTTTAGAATTAGACCATCGTTATTGTGGGACTGGTTAGGCTCCACGCGTTAGACCCATTGTGCATTGTCCCAACTCATCAAACAGTCTACTACCTATTAGGTAGCCAATAGATAATTTCGTCTACAGGTGCCTTTGTAACCTTAGCACCAACCTAATCTTTTAGAAGTTGATAATGTTACCTAAAAGTGTTTTTCTATGCTTCTTTACTGGATATCCTTTTAGTCGTCTTTTACGATAAGCAAAACTTACCTTAAATCCAGATGTATATATTTAAAATGTTTAGTTATTTTTGTTGGTGCAAGAACGATAATTTGGATTCTTTACACCAAATAGTTGGAAATTTAAAATAAATATTATCGATACTCTAAAATTAAAAATTAATCATTTTATATGTTGTAATTTATGTATTTTGAAATCTGTTTTTAGATGAAATTGTTAAAGAGGGTGAAGAGGAAGTTCCTTGTAATACAGATAACGAAACTCAAGCTAGAAACCAAGGTAGTAATTGGTGTAGAGATGGAAACTCAGTGTGTTTGGAAAGGTGGCAAGGGCCCAACAATGGAATAACGTCGTTTGATAATATCGGATTCGCTATGTTGACTGTGTTTCAGTGTATTACTATGGAAGGATGGACCGCTATATTATATTGGGTAAATTTTTTTATGTTATAATTTAAACTTTTCTTTTATTTGTTCTTATTATCTATCAAGCTATTATGTATTTATTTTTAATATATACTTTTTTTTAGATGAATGATGCTATTGGAAGTATGTTTAACTGGATATACTTCGTTCCACTTATTGTTTTGGGATCATTTTTTATGTTAAACTTAGTTCTTGGTGTTCTCAGTGGGTAAGTAGGAATATAAAATGTTGTTTTTAGCTATTTAATCTTAATGAAAATTAGTTAAAACCATTTGTCTAAAAATCATCGATCTTATTATTTCTTAAAGTTAAATAAATTAAGATTTCTACCAATCGCTTATAAAAATAATTTTTGGGTGGATCTTATTTTATCCATAGTTTAATTCCGAATAAACTTATCAACTTGTCAAGCTTTTTATAAAAAGGTATGGTGGTTATTTTGAATTTAATGGAATGGAAAGGTAATTTATATATAACAAGTCACACACTGCAGTCGTTTCTACGATATTCACTTTCGTCAACTGCTTTGTGGAATACTGAATATTGCAAGATAGTTTTGTAACTGTCAGCTAGTCGGTAACTACCTCTTACGGCATGAAACTTTGGTTTCTAAGTAATACAGTGAAATATTGTTAGAGGCCTTATTATAAATTAACTTTGATAACGAACTAACGAAAGTTGCATAAATTAATACAATAGTTCATGTATAAATAGTTGTTAAATAATAGATAAACATACTTTATTGTCCAAGTTAATTTTATTTATGAAAAGCAGTTAATACTAATTTTTTCATACATATTAGGTGTAGATTAATAAAAGAAAATTAGATTATCCTACGAAAACTTTCTTATTATATATTTTAGTTTGAAAAAGACGAATTTGTCATAGAAAATTACCTCAGAACCATATAAAGGGTATACCATAGAGCTACTACGTACTACTAATGTCAAAATAAGTCGATTGGATCCAATTTATATAATATATACCAAAATGTACCGTGAGGAGAGTTCAAAGTTTACTAAATATATTTCATTTTCGTACGCTGTTCAGAAATGTGGGAAATAAATTTAATGAAATTTGGCAGAAGTATATTTTTCATATACATTTTACTTTCACTGATCAAAAAATCCCAAAAGAAATTTTCTTGGGGGGCAGTAATACGGTTGATTCTAAGATATTTTTTTTTCAGAAAGGGTTACTTATTATCTTAGTTTTTTTACTCTTGTAAAAACTCAGGGTTTCGCTTTGTTTCTAGGGAGAAAAATAGTTATTCAAACACTGATAATGGTTGTAACCATTCTAAAATATCCTTTGGGATTCTTTGATTACTAAAAGTAGGTAATCCTCTAAAATGTTACTTTTTTTTCAAATTTCGTTAAATTTTTTTCATGCATTTCCGAACAGTGCTGAAAAATGTGATTTATTAAGTAAACTTTAAACTCTTCCCACAACAAACTTTACATTTTATTGGGTCCAATCAACTTATTGTGACATCTTCAATACGTGGTATAGCTCTATGTCTCAGCAATTTTTGGACACTTTGTATATAGCTGCTCGCATTTTTAACCAGACTTTAGTTTTATGATAAGATGGTTAATTTTAGACAAGTGATTTTAATTGATAGATTTGAAGATTATTCAATAAATTAACGTAGAAAATTATACATGACTGAGTGATAATTACAAAAACCGTTGTATTTCTAAAGATATAAGTGGACAATTTTAGAGTATCCAAGGTATCGAAAATCTTAACAAAGTTGTTTACTTACAACTATATTAGGTATATTTAAGCACACGAATAATAATTATTGTATCTTTATAAGTAAATTAATAGAAATAACTATATTTACTTATGTACACAATAACATTGAACATTCAGAATTACATCAGATATTTTTTGACTAGCTATTGCCTCACCATTATGTATAAAAAATAATTCTAAGTTTAAGTCTTTTAATTTTAAGTAAGCATCATTTAAATTACTTACAGTTGTAGAAAGTTTTAATTCATCGTCACTCTCATTGTCGGTAATATTAGACACCCGTTCGTTTTCTTTAAAATCATTAACACAACTAGCTAAGTTTAGTTTAGGATTTTCCGTCAATAGGGCTGCATCAATCTCCACGAAGTTCAAAAAAATTTTTTTTCGCAAAAGGTTGACAATGGTAAATCGTTTTCCAGGTCTTTTTAGAATATCTTCTTTATTACTATCGTTTCTTAAAAAACCGCACCTAATGAAACACTTTCCAATTATTTTGGTTGAAATGTTTTTCCATGCTGCCACTATCCAAATTAAGGCGTTAGCAATCGTTATGTATTTCTCCAGTTCATCCGGTGATAAAAAACATTCTATAGATGATAATATTATTTTCATCAATAACTTTCTATAGAGGGATTTAAAGTTTTTGATTATTCCTTGGTCTAACGGTTGACAATGTGCTGCAGTATTAGGTGGCAAAAATATTATCAATATGTTGGATAGTTGAATATTTGGATAGAATGTTGCGTTGTCAAGGAACAAGGTAATTTTTCTTTTTTAAAGTTGCATTTTTTTGTCAAATTTGTGCAGCAAATCTATCATGATATCTCTGGTCATCCAGGCCTTCTAGTTGTAGTACCAGTCGACATGCAGTTTATCAACATGAAAATCTTTAAAACATCGAGGTTTTTACTTTTACCAATCAACAAAGGTTTTGTTTTACCCCATGTAGATTTGCACACAATACTACTGTCAGTATTGCCTTAGCAGATTTACCCTCAGTGTACGTTTCATTACGAATTCTAAAAGTTTTACTAGATAAGTCTCGATAATAAAAATTCACGAATTTACGTTATACGACCTACTACTTTGTAGGAATTGCAACTAAGAATAGTCCATGAATGTGACTTCTGCTAAGTCTTGTTGGAAAATATAACTCAGGAATTGTATAATGCAAGGAGGTAAAAAGGGGGAAATTTAAACATTTAAAATAATTTTGATTAAGTTTGATTATTTTCATGTGGTTTTTAATTTTGAATTAATAAAATTATTAAATTACTGACTTAATAAATGTAATGAGCACTATCTTTCTCATTTTAACAAATACTCGTATTAAACCCAATATGGACGAATTTTAAAAAACAAGGTATTTTAAAATTTTCATAAAAATAAGTCAAAAGTAACGAAAATAAAAAAACTAGCTTTAGATGCATGATGCATCATTACAGCAACTGGCACAGTTTCGTTTATATCATCTTTTCTTCTTAAAAGATATTTGTTTCATCCCATATCCTATCCCAACCCTGTAAACATACTTTCATTTTGCATTTTTATGTGAAATTTAATAGGTTTTTGAAGACTTTCAACTCTTCTAGGAGAGATCAGGGTAAGATGACGATACTAAGAGAAAATGAAAATACAAATAAAAGTAATTTATTTGAAAGTTAATTACATATCAGTACAAATATGTTTATGATTTTGTGTAACGTTAATCTAACCAAAAGTATCAAAATATAAATGAATTTTCAAATAACAAAAAAAGTAAAAAAGCAATTCTCCTCAACTTACCTCATACGTTGACGAACCTATTGGGGTAAAATGACTATGCACAAAATCACAACAGAAACTGCCAAAACCCTTACAGCTGCCTCCATGACATAAAATGAGAACATTTCAATCAATTTTCAAATGGTGGGTCGCTATATTCTTCGTTACATGCAGGGCAAAAATATTGAATCTCACTACTGGAACCTGCAATATCAGTAGCACTGGGATGATCACCAGCAGTACTGGGACCAGCAGAACTGGGATCTGCAATATAAGCAGCACTGGGCAATGTTTTTCGACATTTTTGTCCCATATTTTCTTGAACTGTATATTTCTTCTGTACTTTAAGTTGTTTGTTTTTTTGTTCTAATTTTTTTGTTCTCTTTTTCTTCAATCTCCCTTTGTTTTTTCTAGTTGTAACTTCATTGGAGTTCCACTTATAACAGAAGATGACAATTTATTTTCCATGGTGTGAGGACCTTCCAGATATTGCAATTGGCCTAAGTTTCCAAATAGTATAAAGGGGCTCATTTGAAGTATCTTTATTTGAAAAAGTTGACGTTTATGTGTCTCTATTTGACCTTTGGTTTTAAATGTTTTATTTGATGTGGTCTGTTGAGGTGTAGTAAAATATTTTATTTTTTTGGCCAACACAGCCAGAGGTACCTGATTCTCTTCATCAGATGACAACGATCTGGCATAGTCATCATTACCATCATTTATCAAAAGGGAACCGTTCACTTTAGGTTATTCATCATGTTCGGTTGTTTTTGAAGGTACGAAATCACTGTCATCAAAAACCAGAGGGTTAAAAGGTTCAATGCCAAAAGCTCTTCAGCCATTTACAGCATTATTTACATTGGCTGCCCTGCAATAAGCCTCCCTGAACAAAGGTCCTATATTTTTGTCGGTTATTTGAGTTCCTGGATGACTTATTAGAAACGAATCACACATTTAATTAAAAAATGACTTAAAAAGTCCAAAAAACGAAACTTCCAATGGTTATAATCGGTTGGTTGTGTGGGGAGGAAATTCTACAAGCACAATTCCACTTTCTTGGTAGAAGTTGATACAGGAAGGGAAATATGGAAAGTGTGATTATCAACCAGTAACAATACGGGATCATCAACAGACGATTTTGTGTAGTGCGCAAAGTGTTTTAAGTAGTCAAGAAAAGTTTTCGCCGTCATCCAGCCTAAAGCCTGAAGGTTGTGCCCTACCATCACAACTGGAAGGACAACCATTTAACAACTCGGGTTTCATTCTATTTCGGCCAAATATCAAACATGGAGGTACGTATGAGACAGCATTCATTGCACACACCAAAGTTGTATTTCGACCTCAGCTATCAATATTTTAGCAACTCGACGTTATCCTGTTGGTGTGATGAATTTTGGTAGCTTCGTTGGCACAGTTGAAAGACCAGATTCGTCTGCGTTGTAGATGAAGCCTGCTTTAAACTTGTATTTGGTGATAACCTCCTCCAAAATTGTCAATTAAATCCTCGTAGCCGTGCAATTGAAGTCGCTTCAGGATTTCTAAGACTCAACTTTGTTACGTTCACTATAAGATTTTAACAAATCAGTCCCGGCTACTTATGTTTCCCTGTTGAACCTGTGTTCTATATTATTCACTTCAGCATATTGATATGCGAGTGTCCGAATTTGCGATGAAGGTAATCCAAGGTCTCGTTGGTTACATTCTGCTAGGTAGCTAACAAATTATTTCGTCTGTTCAGCATTAAAGGTTTTCTCAAAACGACCTCCGCTCTCCGAGAACTCTTTACCTCGAGCATCTCTTTTTAAGTATCTTCGTAACGTAGGCTCAGGAATATCGTAAGTTATTGCAGCTGTGTTACAACTGAAAGATCCTTCGCGTACTTTCCACATAGCTGCTGCAAGGAAGTCTTCACTCCACTCCCTACGATTGGTTTTGCGCTTGTATATCCGCGCGGCATTCTATAAAAGAATACTGGCCTTCTTATAATACTTGCGTGCATGGGGTAGGATGACGAAGTTGTATGCTTGCTTGGGGTAAGATGATGAGTTCGTTATCTTACCTCCATCATTTTACCCCCGTGTGTAAAATGTCGATGCTAAAATGTAAACAAAACTTCAACAATTTTACTACTGGCAATACCTATTGGTACCTATTAAAGAATTGTTGGTAACACATTGGATTTGTTTACTTACTTGAGAAAGGCACAAATCGTTAATAAAATGCTATAAAAACCATTGTTGACGTGTCACTGCTGCAGTAATGAGCGGGCCGGACAACTGCGCATCAATTTTAATGCGGAGCATTTGTACCTAGATGGCATTACTAGTAGCACTTCAAAATTTAATTCTGTTATTTAAATATACAAGTTCGTCATCTTATCCCGTTCGTCATCTTACCCCGATCTCCCCTACAATATAGCATGTAGAAGAAGATTACAATTTTGATAGTAAAGTATAAAAAAAATCTAAATTATATATTTAGCATGATATTTACACAATAATCTATTATCGCTTAGTCATGTATTTTAAAAAGTTAATTTTATTTTCGAATGAACAAAGCAAGTTTATTTTAACAGAGAATTTTCTAATGAAAGAGTAAGAGTGGAACGCAGAGCCATGTATTTCAGAACGAAAACAAAAAATATGGTTAACGAATGTTTCGGCCGGTATATTAACTGGATTACTCAAGCAGGTTGAAAAATCGATCAAGTCGGCTAGTTTAACTATTCTGCTCCTAAAAATTATTTATCGAGATATAAATTTTATAGTAAGCTCACGATTACTTCACTTGTGCCTGAGACTTTCGAGAATAAGCCGTAAATTTAAATTACGTTATTTCGAAAAGGAAAATTATACATATAAATATGTCAAAGCTGTGTGACATTTTGATTCATAGTTGGAAAATAAAATGTATTACTTATTTATTTTTTTCATTAATTAGATAGACTGTCTTTCCGGTTTCTCAAATAATCGCCTCTTAGAGTCTATTTATAATCCCTTATTATTAGTATTTGCATTAATATTATGATTAAGGATTAAGTTGAACCTTCGCAATGTAATAGGGCATTTATACTCGATTTATGATTATTATTAGCATTAATATTTATGCTTAAAAATTGACAGGTTCAATTTTTATATTAAATCTCAAATTTCTTCGTTTCTATCAAATGAATCAATGACGTAGGTATTTGACAACGGATAATGACAATTGACAATACACATAAGATTATGTTGTCAGATGTTGTTTATTGGTTTGTTCCAATAAGTTCGAAAACGATAATATGTTGGCATACAATGTGTGTGTGTGTGTGTGTGTGTGTGTGTGTGTGTGTGTGTGTGTGTGTGTGTGTGTGTGTGTGTGTGTGTGTGTGTGTGTGTGTGTGTGTGTGTGTGTGTGTGTGTGTGTGTGTGTGTGTGTGTGTGTGTGTGTGTGTGTGTGTGTGTGTGTGTGTGTGTGTGTGTGTGTGTGTGTGTGTGTGTGTGTGTGTGTGTGTGTGTGTGTGTGTGTGTGTGTGTGTGTGTGTGTGTGTGTGTGTGTGTGTGTGTGTGTGTGTGTGTGTGTGTGTGTGTGTGTGTGTGTGTGTGTGTGTGTGTGTGTGTGTGTGTGTGTGTGTGTGTGTGTGTGTGTGTGTGTGTGTGTGTGTGTGTGTGTGTGTGTGTGTGTGTGTGTGTGTGTGTGTGTGTGTGTGTGTGTGTGTGTGTGTGTGTGTGTGTGTGTGTGTGTGTGTGTGTGTGTGTGTGTGTGTGTGTGTGTGTGTGTGTGTGTGTGTGTGTGTGTGTGTGTGTGTGTGTGTGTGTGTGTGTGTGTGTGTGTGTGTGTGTGTGTGTGTGTGTGTGTGTGTGTGTGTGTGTGTGTGTGTGTGTGTGTGTGTGTGTGTGTGTGTGTGTGTGTGTGTGTGTGTGTGTGTGTGTGTGTGTGTGTGTGTGTGTGTGTGTGTGTGTGTGTGTGTGTGTGTGTGTGTGTGTGTGTGTGTGTGTGTGTGTGTGTGTGTGTGTGTGTGTGTGTGTGCGCGCGCGTGTGGGTGTGCGCGTGTGAGTGTGCGTGGGCGTGTGCGTGTGCGTGTGCGTGTGCGTGTGCGTGTGCGTGTGCGTGTGCGTGTGCGTGTGTGTGTATCCACCATAACTCATGAACCGATACAAATAAAAACACAAAATTTTAAACTTAAGTTTTATTTCGGCCTGAGGTGAAATGATTAGATTTTGGACAAAGACGGAACACCTGGGGGGTACTTTATGGGAGGCCATTTTTATATTTTATGGAATATATCTCTTATATAGGTTTGGAGAAGAAAATTCTTTAACTAAAAGTTACTTCTAATATTACTTTCTATAATTTTTGTTTTATGCAAAATTTTTCTTAAATGGTCCGTATTCGAGAAATTTTACAAAATGTAAAAAATTATGATTTTTAAGAAAGTTGTTGAATTAAAAGATGTTTGCCATATCGATCTCTATAATTCTGTTTTTACATGATTTCTCTAAAATGGACCATAATGGAAAAATTGGAGGAAAATTATAAAATTTAAATTTTTCAGAATTTTTGAGTTAGATGTATGTGGAAAATGTGTATATTAAGTTAACCTCTAAATATTTACAGAGGTGCTACAATAAGTTGTACAAAATAACCGAAAAAAGCCCGTAATAACTAGATAGGAAAGTCATGTGTTGGACACATCAGATTTTTTGGTATAATTTTGCTACAATTTCGTCTATGATACATCGGTTTCGGCATTTATAACTTTGACAATATTGCCACTCTTCACAAAAATTCTACCATTTCGGGACCAAGCTGTATAATTCTTCATCTTTGCTGCCATTAACAAATTATAAGACTTTTCACCGAGTTCTTAGTTAATAAAAATCCGTACCTTTAAAAGCAGATCTGGCACCATAAATACTATTTCTTTTTATAGTGGATATGAAACTGACTATAATTCGTCTTAGTTTGATCTGGTTGTTATCGAATTTTCCAGCTCGATAAATATTCAAATATTCAAATTCAAGCACTTTAGTACATCATTATTTATACTCAAAATTTTAGAAATTAAATTTTCTTTTTCAGGAACATCCACAAATCTTAAAATATTTTGCTTATATTTGCTATCAAATACATGTCACCACGAGGAAGCAAAGGCTTTTTTTTTGTCTGATTTGTCTCAAATATCTGCTTCTTTTTATCTGTTATAAATTTGAGACGTAAATCCGTTAAAATGTCCTTCATTAAACCTTTTTTAGAAATGATAATCTTTTAAATAAAATTAACTAGTAAAAGTATTAATAAAAACACGTTTAAAACTCAAATATTTTGAAAAATATTCTAACACAACTGGCCTCTTGCACATTCCTTCAGTAACCAACATTGCAGAATTATATCTTATTAGGAAAAAGATTATTAAGAAGAAGCACTAATACTAATTATAAGGTATAAATACTCTTTGAATATTTTGTCCAGTTTAATGCTTAATCATAATACTAATAATAAGGGAGTATAAATAGACCTTTAATTTCGTTTAAAAAGCGACGCTATCACAATTTAAAATTCTCTCAACAAAATTTAACGTCCTTGCACGATGATCAATTAAAAAAAATGCAAACGATGTCAGATTTAATCAATTCATCGTGAATAGATACTTAGTTTGTCCTTTGTAGTTTCTAAAATAACGTTAGTAAGCTGTTTTGAAGATAAAGAAGTAATTTCCTAAATATAGAATTAAATGAGAGAGTGAAGATTGAAACTCTTTTAAATATCTCGAAAAATAAGGTTTATGCAGTTTTTAAGTATGTAAATGGCTTCAGTAACCCAAAAAGAGGATATAGGATAAATTGTCTGATTAGCTTACGAAAAAATAAACCCACTAGTTTTAATCGAATCAATAACGTATTATGTAAGGTTTTGTTAACAGTTCACTTAATATTTATTGGCCGCAGCCGAGGCAGATATAATTATAGTCTGTGTACCTAAAGGTCTATTTATAACTCTTGAGGACGACAAAGGAATAAAAACACAATTTTTTTGGTATTATACAATGTGTGATAATTTGAAGAAACCGTAAAACAGACTGAATCCGACAAATAAAATTTAGTATTTTCTATCGTTGAAATAATGAAATTTCCTTTCTAATATACAATTCATTTCTTGGAATATACAAGGTGTCCGGTTTTTACTACATTAAAAAATAAGATGACAAGTTCCCATAAATGTTTTTACTAGCGGCCCTCCCTACGGAAATACGGCCTCCAAAAGGACGCCACTGGAAATGACTTTTCTTGAATAACTTTCAAACTACGTAATATAATTTAATGAAAATTTAATATGATAAGCAGTAGTAAGAACCTCATAAAATACTGCCCTTAAAACATTCTTAGCTTGTTTAGTTTACCAGGGGCGGACTAGGTTGTACATTTTAATGCTTGCATTTTTAACAAACTGTATGATAAGGAGATAAAAAAAATAAATTTTGATACCACGAACATTAAGCTAAAGAAAAGGTACTCTTCTTTAATGTCGGTTAAACAGAATTAGCTAATTTCAAATTGGTAAATACAACTTGGAGTATTATGTTTTCATCCTGAACTCACTAAAGCTTGTAACGGTTGAACATAAATACGAACTAGTATCAATCGTAGAAGAATACACCAAGGTTTTGAGATGATCCCACAGGTAAAAATCCATTGGCGTTAGGTCAGGAGACCGTGGAGGCCAGACGATTAGACCTTCTCTGTTAAAGTGAGGTGGGGCTCCAACATGCATAAAATACATGCTTCGGCGGGTTTCAAGTGCCAAATGCTCCATTGAATCCAGAAAAGCGTCCTGAATGAACTGTAAATAAAGTTCACCATTCAATCGTGACGGCAATAGACATGGTCCAATCAAAAAATTGCCAATTATTCCTGCCCAAACATTAATTGATTGGAACTGATGTTGATAATAATGAACAAGAGTGGCATGAGGGTTCTCATCAGCCCATGCGAGTTATGTAAATTTAAAATACCATTTTTGGTAAACCCTGCTTCATCGGTAAAAAGCATAGTACTAATGAAATTTCCGTTTGTTCGTTGCTGATCTAACAGCCAGTTTGCAAACTGGATTCTTCGAGGAAAATCTTCAGGAAGTAGTTGATGCACTTTTTGCATATGATAAGGGTATAACAACTGTTCTTTAAGTACTTCAGCAATTGTTGTTTTTTACACATAAAGCTGCCGGCTAATCTTCGAGTGCTTATTGAAGGAGTATCAGCTACACTATCCAAAATATTTTCCTCCAGTTGCACCGTACGTACTGTTCTTGTCACACCAGTCACACCAGCATCAGTATTTGTCTTCCCAAAACTTCCTAAAAATTATTAAAGAAAGTCAATAACGTTACCTTATTAACTGGGAATCGCCCACCAGTCTCTCTTAGACGTTGGTCAAGTCGCTGAAATGTTTTCTCATTTGGAATATTGCGATTAGGATATCTTTCTTCATACAACCTTTTTGTTTCATAAAAATTGCAAGACGCAAGACCGTACATAAGATGCATATATGCATACTCACTAAATGTGAATCCCATTATCGAATTTAATTTACCAAGATATTCAAAATTCAATAAATTAATATCGGAGTACTAAAAGATCAACGTGGCAACAAGATTTAAAATGCACACGTCAATGCAATTATTCATTTATTTATTTCGTAGGTACTACAGTAACGCTTGTAAAAACAGTGCATTTTTTAACACTGATAACAGTTCTATTTCAATGACTTTCATATCACACTTGGCTGTAGACAAAAAAATGCAAATCATGGTTTCTTTTTAATAAAAATAAAACATTAATTCTTTTATTACTATTTTTTTCTCGAAAACGGTTCATTTTATCGACAATGAAGAAGAGTCCCTTGTTTAGCTTAATGTTCAAGGTATCGAAATTTATTTATCATACAGGTGTTAAAAACGTAAGCATTTAAATGTACAACCTAGTCCGCCCCTGGTAAACCAAACAAGCTAATTATGTTTTAAGGGCATTATTTTAAGAGGTTTTTACTACTGTTTATCATATTAAATTTTCATTAAATTATATTACGTAGTTTGAAAGTTATTCAAGAAAAATTGATTTTCAGTGGCGTCCTTTTGGAGGCGGTATCTCCGTAGGGAGGGCCGGTAGGAAAAAATTTATGGGAACTTGTCATCTTATTTTTTAATGTTCTATCTGAATTCGAGAGACCTCCCACATTTTCCCGGACACCCTGTATACCTAATAATAAATATTTATATTTTGTTCATAGTGATTGGTTCTTCCTCAAAATATTTGAGCTGCATTATGTTACACGATATATAAATAATTACTAGGCAATAACAAGAAGTGATCTACAAAAAATGTTTCTAAAGTAGGAGTGGTTGTCTGTCGTCTCAAGAGCTCACTGTCAGTGAAAGACTCTTTAAAAAGTGCCGGTTGAAAAGGAAGTTAAATTATTAGTTGAAAATGTAACTTTTTTAATAATTTCAAACATCAATAATAATTGCAAGTTATCAAAATCAAACTAAACTAAAAATGGATAATGTAGGGTATAGACGAAAACTACTTAACCTTTAACTGCATGAATTTTAGAAAATCACCAAAAAAAGAAAAATACATTACTTATACAGGAAAAATTGTTTAAAACATTCTTATAATGTTTAAAAACAAACAAACAAAAAAAAAAAAACAAGAAAAAACAAAAAACAAAAAAAAACAAAAAAAAACAAAAAAAAACAAAAAAAAACAAAAAAAAACAAAAAAAAAACTAAAAAAGAAAAGAAAAAAAAAAGAAAAAAAAATTAATCAAATATGATGCATCATGCTTCGAGGGAAAATTAACACGGGACTAGAAACTCAAAAAATTACTATTCAAAATTTATTTATATTTCAAATGCGATATAATCTCCAATTTTTCACGATGGAACTCAAAAACTCAGTTATTCTTTTTCATTATACAAAAAGTCTACATTTCCTACACATAAAATTTGTCAATGATTTACATCGATCATACTTGCATCTATTTCTTTTATCTTCAAGGTCGTCCACGCCTAGCAGTTTCACTTCTTCCAATTTTACACAGATTATATGCTAAATGAATTCGAAATTGTTTCTGAGACATAGGGGTTTATGAATGACAACCTGTGTTATTTTTAACAGGTCTGTTATTTTATAAACACAGAGAAATTACAACCTGTTCACAAATAACGTGTCTGTTAAAAATAACATTACTTGTAGATCAGTTGTTTACTCTGTTGAAAAGAACCCAAGCATTAACAATGCTCAAATCAAGCAAATGGTGAAATAAGCGAAAATACATTTTTTTTGCTTTTCACCTTGTGTCTTCCTACGTGAGCATCCATTAAATCTACATCACCCATATGTCTATTTATTTAGTAAGAAAAGGTGTTTTTCCGTTAGAACAATAATTACCCTTTTTAAGTTTATTGGGGAAGTTAAGCTGATAATAGAAGTGCCAGTATATTGAGAAGCTTTATTTGTTTTAACAGGTCAGGCATACACACATATATTTGTGACCGTGGTAATAAACTAGTAGTACTTTTAATATTAGCTTAATCTTCCCAGCATCAAGAAACGAACGACAGTGCTACTAGGCCCTGCTCTACATAAAAAAATTAAATTTATGTTTGCTATAAGCTAGATTATATTAAAGTAGGCTAGAATATTCCTAACCTCTCCTGCTTTTCTATTAGCGAGTTTGCCAGAGAACGAGAAAAAGTAGAAAATCGCCAAGAGTTTTTAAAATTAAGGCGAGCTGCACAGCTAGAACGGGAACTTAATGGTTATGTGCAATGGATTTGTAAAGCGGGTAAGCATACTTAAAAGCTTTAGTCTCGTATTTTTGTCCAAAATATTATGCTTTCTTATCGGATACAGAAATTAAATTTTTTCATTGAAGATGGACAATAATAGAATAGTCTTTATCCAAAGTTTCTTCTGTAGAGTTTGTTTCAAGCAACTTAAAATTACAAACTTGTATTTTGTGATGTTTGGCCTGTGAATTAATTAACATATTAAAATCTCTTCACTTTATCTTTTCTTTAATTATTATCTTCAAAGACTAAATTTAATTTAACTATCCTTTAAGAGTTAAGACTAGTGCCAATCAACAAATTAATCAAATGCAGCTATAGTTTAATGTAATGAATTAAATCTTTTTTTAACAGAGGAAGTAATATTAGCGGAGGAACGGACAACAGAAGAAGAAAAATTGCACATAATGGAAGCTCGACGAAGGGCTGCAAGAAAGAAAAAATTAAAAAGTATAGGAAAGAGTAAAAGTACAGATACCGAAGAAGAACAAGAAGAAGATGAAATGGGCGATGATGGTAAGACATTTGAATATAAATTAAAGAACTATTTGTTGACAATTAGTTATTGGATCATTAGGGTATGGAACTTATGCTAAAGTGTTGTTGAATATCACTTATAAAATTATCCTCAATTTGTTTGAATTCAACAGTAATGAATCTATAGAACTAAATAATCCATCTTCTACAAATATAGCTGGAAAAATAATATATGTAAGATTACTTTTAGAGATATAGACGCATGGATAATTTTGAGTTTGTTCAAATTCGTGTTTCTTCAAAGATAAATCCAGTTTGCTATTTCACTGTATGGGGCTTTGTTTTAAACCATATTCTTTAAGACAACATCTGACTCGATTAGGGCCATCTTTAATAATCAGATTGGCCATATTATACACATTATCATGTTAAACTATCTTAATTTTATGGCCTTTTGCATAGATATAGATTAGATTTTAAAAGAGTCCTTCTCCACCACGACCTCTTCAGATCTATTGTGGAACTTCATTATTTAGAGTATATCTACTAGCTTGTTCTTTTATATTGGATTTAGCAGCTTTGACAGTGGCTCCCGCATATATTTACATATTTCCTCTTCTTATTCTTCACATAATCTGCACAGTGTAACATTTTTGACACTTATGTGTCTTCTTGTGCGACTGTATTGTCGTTTTTATTCCAGTAGGTTTTTCGCAAACGTTGCCCACGGTTTTCTAATGAACTCTTTGGTCCTACATAGTTGGTCCAGTATTCCTGAGACTTTTTTTCTATCCATTGTTTGATGGATACCTTGTACAATGTCTTAGTTACTCTACAGATGGGTTCGAGGCCTATAATGGCCTTATTTGAGCCGTATCGTGCTAATTTTCCAGCTTTTTATTGCCCTGATATCCTTCGTTGTCTGCTATTCAGGCTAAGGTTACTTTATTTTGACTACTTAGTTCTCTCAGATCTTTTAGGCCATTTTTACCAGGTGTAATTTGATTTCTAAATAGAGAACTGCCTTTAGAACTGCTTGGCTATCAGAGTAGATGGTAATAGCTTGGTGATTTAATAATATTTCTCTTGCACAGTCTTGTATGACTATTAATTCAAACTGGAACAGTGTTGCCTACTCTTCCTTGGTTTTTCAACCGTCTGTATACCAGACAAGTTTAGCCTGTATGCTAGGTCCCTGTTTCTAGGATTCTAGGACTGGTATTTGAATGTGTTGAATGTGTAGTCATAGCTTAAAGAGTTTATACAGCATCAAACATTCTGAAAATGTTTCATAGTAATCAAATTCTTTTTTTTTATTGACAATGATCATCAACATTGCCTGAAAGCCTTGCTATAAAAACTTATTGTGAACTAAAATAGTAATAATTGTAGATTATTATGGGGTGTTTATAACAAAACCTTTATTTTTTAAAAATATGAAAGAACATAAGTTCCAACCTATATTCTTTTTAACTGATATCGACTTGATTATGAAATATGATGCTTATTTTTAAATTTTTTGTGTTATGTAAGGTCGTGCTTCCGTTGGCGTTTTTTTTACTCTCAATGAACGACAATGCCAAAATAAAAAAAAATAAGTACTATATTTTTCTCTTTTATTATCTTTTATTGTTGCTTTATAACTATATTCAATGTTGAAGTTATAGTTTTGTTAGCAGGTTATAGTAAATCTTCTTACCTTAAGTCAAGAATAAAAGGTCAGAGTGGCTGTGCAAAATTTTGGAGAGTGGAGAAAAGGTTTCGTTTCTGCATTCGACACGTGATCAAAACGCAGTGGTTTTATTGGTGCGTCATTGTTTTGGTATTGTTTAATACGATATGCGTTGCTGTGGAGTACCACGGACAACCTAAGTGGCTCTCAAATTTTTTATGTAAGTATTATTTTTAAATTATTAGGGGCATATTTAGGATATTGCTGGTAGAATTGCAAAAAAAAATCGGAATCGGAAACTATACAACAAGGCTCAAATTAGTATCCTGCGGAAAGGTCTGGCTGTATTAAACAGTAAAATTGAAAAAAAGAGACCACAAACAAGTTAAAAGATGAAGAATTTTGTAATAATATCTAAAACTTAGAAACGGGTAGTATATTGAAAAATAAAAAAGTGACAAAATAAAATTAATTATTCTCACACATTCAACTTAAATTATTTTTTAGTGTTTTTGGTAAAATAAAATAAACTATATTTTATAAAAATATGAATTAATAGTGTTTATTTTCTAACATGTTCTTTGTTACAGATTACGCCGAATTCGTTTTCTTGGGTCTATTTATGACAGAAATGTTCATAAAGATGTACGCCTTGGGACCAAGAATTTACTTTGAATCAGCCTTCAACCGATTCGATTGTGTAGTGATAACGGGTTCCATATTCGAAGTTATATGGTCAGGACTAAAAGGTGGTTCTTTCGGGTTATCTGTGCTGAGAGCTTTGAGGCTTCTGAGGATATTTAAAGTGACTAAATACTGGTCGTCGCTGCGCAATCTTGTTATATCGTTGCTCAATTCAATGCGATCCATTATTTCGTTGTTGTTCCTTCTGTTCTTGTTCATTCTTATATTCGCACTACTTGGGATGCAGCTCTTCGGGGGACAGTTCAACTTTGAAGGGGGAACTCCCAATGCCAACTTCAACACGTTTCCTATCGCATTGCTGACTGTGTTCCAGGTAAGCCCATATTTTTTAACTAATTATACTTTTTCGTTCTTCTAGGTGTTTTTAGACGTCTGACAGTGTTAAAAAAGGTTAGTTTATGGTCCTTGGGAAGAAATACTTTTCTGCCTTAAAGCCATAAAAAATAAATACCTACCTAATGAATTAAAATATTATATCTATATAATTTTCATACAGGTTCGAAAATTATTTGAACTGAAGGGGAGGAAAGAAAAAATGCTTGGTATTTTGCAAGAATATGTATTCCTTTTTGATGTTACTGGTTTCGAAGTCTAAAACTTTATCTTCTAGCACGCCTGGTGGTTAAGAAAAAAGAACAATGCTAAAATTCTATTGGTAGAAGCAGTAAAAAAATGATTTAATTTTTAAAGAATTAATAATTATTAATAGTAATAATAGTTATTTATTTTAACTAACAAAATTAGCCATATTAATATACTTACATGACGTAGGATAGTTGAAAAAGTTACCATAGGAAGTAAATGAAACAAAAATCATTGAAAATAAGTTGTAATTAAACTCATCATATTCTATAATCCACTAGAAGATAAAACTACTGGGAACAATAATTAAAGTGAGAAAAACCGAACATGTTATACAAAATTATTGTGTAAAAGAGATGAATACATCTGGTATTATCTTCAAAATTAAATTAAACATAACGTCACAAATTATATTATAAATGCCTCTCTGGCATTACTTAACACGTGTCTATTTACATCTATTCCATTCTATTATCTATTCTTTGTTGTAAATTATCTAGAATTGTTAGTTGGATGTCATAAATTTTTGTTTAAAAAAAATCATTAAATAAAGTCCAGTGATGTTAGATCCTGTACCTGCATTTTCGATATCTTTCTACCTATCGAAAGAGCAGGAAAATTTCTATTTAATTGTGCAGGCAAAGTAAAGTGTGGTGTGATGCTTTATGATGAAATAGAATAATACAATCAAATCCTCGTAAAGGTTATTTTATTATTGTTTTAACACGTGGATCAATTACTTTTCTCAATAACTCAAGATACGATGCACCAATTAAGTTTTCAAGTGAAAAAAAGTGAATAAAAAAACTGGTTTGAGATCCGAAAAACTGAAATGCAATTTTGGAAATACGAAAATTAATAATCCACAATTCCCCCTTCGAAAATATAAAAAATACCCCATATACTCCCATATATCCCCAAAATGAAAATAAACCAATGCAAAATATAAAAAACTGAGAATTAAAGAGATCAAAAATGAGTACATTGACCAGGGATCAAACCTGAAATCTTGAAACTGTAGCTGTTGAGCTGTAAAAACACATGGCTTTGTCACATCTTAACTCCCAGATTTGAAATCAATCCGACTAGTTGAAATAACTAGCATAACAGGAAGATTTTTCTCTTTCACAATACTAATCGTATTTTAATTTTCAATTGCATCTGTGGTCAGTGACCATCTCGAATAACATATTTTTATCAACAACTATAAAGTTTCTGAAACTTTTAGAAAATTTGCCTTCAATTTTTCGATATACAAAAATGACATATTGTTAAATTGTCAAAGTCCATCTAGTGAGAATATGTCAAACCTAGTTATATAATGGATTACTATCGAATGACAGTTATCTAAAGATAAGTTTTCAGAAACGCTTTATTATTTATTGAGAACATAACTTTATTGAACCGACAGTTATCCTTTCAGTAACGAAATGTACCGGAAACCGGCCATTAGTCATTTACTAATTATTTGGTTATATTTTCCTCTTTTCCCAAATGTATATTTTATGCTTTAACAATAATTGAGTAATAAAATATACATTGCTTGTTCTTATTTATCATTCTGTATGGCATTTTTTTTTTCCTAAAATTTTAAGATTGCAATCATTTTCAGATATTGACTGGTGAGGACTGGAACGAAGTCATGTACAATGGTATAAACGCCCTTGGAGGACCCAACGTCGCTATGATTTATTCCCTTTATTTCATCGTCCTCATGTTATTCGGTAACTACACGCTCCTAAACGTCTTTCTCGCCATCGCCGTCGACAACTTGGCCAACGCCCAGGAGTTGACGGCCGCTGAAGAAGAGCAAGCTGAGGAGAACAAAGAAAAGCAAGCTCTGGAACTAGAAAAGGAAATGGAGGCCTTACAAATGGAAGCAGGCGGTCTCAAAATGGATGCAACCGGCCTTTCTAGTCCTATCAAATCGACGAGAAAGAAAGTTGAGGAGAAAGCCGAAGAGGAAGAAATCGTCGGTCCGAAACCTATGCTGCCATATTCTAGCATGTTTATTCTTTCTTCAACTAATCCGTAAGTATCGTTTTCTATCCACGTCCAATAAAGTTAGCATGCGATATTAAATGTATTTGGTAAAATGTAGCAATTAAAAAAGGTATCTCGTTACATTAAGTTTTGGTTTAAGAAAAAGATTTTACAGTAAATTTAACCACAGTTTTTGGGGCTAAAAATAAGTCGATTTATGCTAACTTACTTACATAAAAAATGGATAGTAAAAAAGTTACAGGGTTTTAAAGAAAAAATTTTAGAAGCAATTCTGTGTTTGTACTCTAGAACTATTTTTTGAAAATGTACTTAGGATGTTTGTAGTCAATGGCAAATAAAATAGAATTGGAAGGCGTTTAAAATTGATTTGATTCTATAGGTTTTTAGAAGGGTTCCGCACCCCTTTGGCTCCCTACTTTTTTAGACCTTGAATTTCAGTTAATTAATAAAATTCTACATCTGGGTGAATTTTTTTGTCTCCTACTTACTACCTATTTGTAAAAGTCTTAATTACTGAGTTATTGGCCCTAGAAGAATAGTCATAGTAAAAATTACAATGACATATTTCAACCCGATCTAAACTTAAACCACTGATTATTTGTTCGACTTTTTTTAATTATGCAAGATCAGTAATACAACGGAATAATATAGTATCATTATGGTTTCAAAAAAGTTTTAAAATAGTTTCAAAACAGTTTCAAGTTTCAATAGTTTTAATTTAGTTTCAATATAGTTTCAATATAGTTTCAATATAGTTTCAATATAGTTTCAATATAGTTTTAATATAGTTTTAATACAGTTTCAAAATAGTCTCAATATAGTTTCAATATTATTTCAATATAGTTTCAATCTAGTTTCAATCTAGTTTCAATATAGTTTTAATATAGTTTTATTATATTTTAATATAATTTTAATATGGTTTTAATACAGTTTAAATATAGTTTGAATATAATTTAATATAGTTTGAATAGTTTTAATATAGCTTTAATCTAGTTTTTATTGTTTTAATATAGTTTTAATATAGTTTTAATATAGTTTTAATATAGTTTTAATATAGTTTTAATATAGTTTTAATATAGTTTTAATATAGTTTTAATATAGTTTTAATACAGTTTCAATATAGTCTTAATATAGTTTCAATATTATTTCAATATAGTTTCAATCTAGTTTCAATCTAGTTTCAATCTAGTTTCAATATAGTTTTAATATAGTTTTATTATAGTTTTAATATATTTTAATATAATTTTAATATGGTTTTAATATAGTTTTAATACAGTTTAAATATAGTTTGAATATAATTTAATATAGTTTGAATAGTTTTATTATAGCTTTAATCTAGTTTTAATATAGTTTTAATATAGTTTTAATATAGTTTTAATATAGTTTTAATATAGTTTTAATATAGTTTTAATATAGTTTTAATGTAGTTTTAATATAGTTTTAATATAGTTTTAATATAGTTTTAATATAGTTTTAATATAGTTTTAATATAGTTTTAATATAGTTTTAATATAGTTTTAATATAGTTTTAATATGGTTTTAAAATAGTTTTAATATAGTTTTAATATAGTTTTAATATAGTTTTAATATAGTTTTAACATAGGTTTAATAAAATTTTAATATATTTTCAATATAGATTTATTCTAGTATCAATATAATTTTAATTTAGCTTGATTACAATCTTCGTTAATTCGAGTTACCGTCATATTAGTGTCAACTGTCTAAAAATATAAGATATAGCATATATTTTTATCTATGAATGCCAATCTAACAAGGCAACATCCATTTATTTCCTTTGTGCAATGGTGTGTGTACCCTACTACTGTTCCTATTTTCTTAGTCAAACTTATCAATTATATGAATTTAAAAGTTTAGTAAAGTTTAAAATCCCGCCGTTATTTGTCTTTTTTTAAATATCTGATGGCGTTCTTTTTCTATTGAATTCTTAGTTTTCTTTTTATTTTTTGGATTCATTATACGTTAAATATTTTCTTTTCGACATAAAGTATAAAACGTTTAGAAATAACAGAATTGGGGAAGGATAACGTAAACTGTAATAAACTAAAGAACAGTAAATGACTGGTAATACACGAGCTCAGTTCCTCATCAGTTTTAACCAAATAAATTTTTTGACCTCAGTAATTTAAATAAAGTGGGTTGGAGAAAGCCTGATTGTAATATTTATTAAAGTTAATATTTTAACGAACAATGACTAGAACGAATACATTTCCCAGTACGTTTCCCAGTATTTATTCAAAAAATCATTAACCACACTTAATCAAATGATTTACCATTAAAAGGGTTTAAGTATGTATCAACTTAAAATTTAATAGCTTTTAATATTGGCTAAATTTTAGTTCCAGAATTAAACAAAAAGATCTCTAGGAAACATGAAATTTAATTTTTAAATATTATATAATTCAAATTAATGTGGTACTCTTGAGAGTCAAATCAAGCTGCTCTTACACTTTCAACATTTTCAAATGTACGTGTAGAATGTATTCTTTCTTTTATTTATGTCTTGGGTAATTCTCACAATATTTTTGTTTTTTTCAAACCCAGTCTATTATAAATCGTCAAACTGTACTTTTTGGTTTATATATGGTTTTGGTATTTCTTCTGACCCTCTTTTTGCAGTTTGTTGTATTCCCTCGGCCCCTTGATGACTTAAAATTAAAACTATTTTTTTTTTCAATTTCGGTCTGCCAATGTTCTCAGTTCTTCGATATAATGCTATACCAGCCTTAACGTCACATTCTGACTTAATATGGCCTTAAAACACTCCTGACTGGATGATATTATTTAGATCTGCTTAATTTCGATAGCTCTTCTATTGTTTGTTCGTGTACATTGCAAGATTGGATGAACCTCAGACTCAGATATAGAATCATGTCTTCCTATTGCATAGCTGAGGTTGTAGTTATGGTTTTTGGAGAATACTCTAGCTCCAGTGCCTTTCAAAGTCTTTGGCCCGTCTGTGTACCATGTTTTGTATCATCCGTTGTACAATGCTTTCCCTGATTTGATTGTTATTAAAACCTCGAATGGAGTGTTAAAGAAGTAACGTTTAATTATGTATAGCACTCCGGTCACTTACCTTGTAATAGGTCTGATGATAAGATTTTCCAAGGTGTTCCCCAATCTGTAAGCACCTAATCTTACCTCCAGCTGTACTCGTATTATTAAGAGCATTTTGTAAACATCATTCTCGCAGGAAGCTAGTACCATTCCTTGCTAATTAAGTAATATACGTCTTCGTTTTAGCAAAAAGATAAATAACTTGCTATCAGGTATTCAATGATATCTTTACAATATTACAACCTCTTATTTAAAACAAATTTCCTAGTGTTTACCGTTTTCTTTCAATTCCTATATAATTCAAACAACAATTAACATTACCATTTAATGTGGGATCCAAAAACTACAACAAATAATAAAGCAAGGCTGCTGCGTTTAGTAGCGCAGATTTGGATCCCCAAAATTGTGGAAGTTTTGCAGGTGCATGTCGCCGCGAAGAACTCGTTAATATGACACTTAATGATATTGAGGGTAAAAAAACAATGTTGATAGTTAAAATCCCCATAACCAAAACGAATACCACCAGAACGTTTATTGTAAATTCCCAAAGAGATTTGCAACTTTATAGGAATTATTTGCAATTGAGGCCACCGCATACCAACCATAAACGACTATTTATTTTTTTAAAAATGGGAAGTGTTCAACCCAAGCAGTAGGTTTGCATTCTGTGGGAAAAGCCCCTAGCAAAATCGCCTCCTATCTTAAATTGGAAAATCCAAGCGAATTCACAGGTCACTGCTTTCGTCGAAGCTCAGCGACTCTGCTAGTACATGGAGGGGGTGATCTTATAAATTTAAAACGGCACGGAGGATGGAAATCATTAAAAAGTCGGTCTTAAAAAAAATATTGTACGTCACACGACCGGAAATTAGTGTTTTACAGATCTCACCAAGCTTCCAGGACTCGCCTACGGCTCGCCCTGGAATCTGCTTGTCTCGACCTGTAAAACACTACTTTCCGTTGTAACGTAAATTACTATTTTTTAAGTTAATAACATAATTCTTTTTTTTTTTTTTTTCAGAGTGAGGAGAGGTGCTCATTGGGTAGTAAACCTACGTTACTTTGATTTTTTTATTATGGTAGTGATCTGTCTCAGTTCTATTGCACTGGCATGCGAAGATCCAGTGGATGAACATGCATTTCGAAACGTTATTCTAGATAAATTCGATTATGCTTTCACCAGCGTTTTCGCAGTGGAAATGTTGCTGAAAGTAATCGATTTAGGCATTATCCTCCACCCTGGATCTTATCTCAGGGAAGTTTGGAACATTATGGATGCCGTAGTCGTAATTTGTGCACTAGTCTCTATGGGCTTTGATTTTGCGTAAGTATATTTTTACACTTATCACATTTTATGTCCTAAATACCATACATTATTTATTTTAAATTATTACATAGAGATTTCAATGAATTCTTGCAACATGTGAATTCCTAAATGAAGAAACAAGACATGTTCACAAAACCAAATTTTACGGGAGAGACAAAAAACTGTGTAGTTTTACAAATAGTTGCATATAATGGTAATGGTAATTTATACCTATACAAAGAATGTATAGTACCTGAGAGAAAACCACTATGGGATTCTTTCAAAATAGATAATTTTTTAGGTGACTGTCATAAAAAATTACATTTTTGGCCGCATTTACTTTATAGCCGCTTTAAAGTGTCACTTTTTTGGACGCATTTAATTAACGGATGCTTTTTATAAACACAGGTATATCATACTTATCGTTACTAATTCTGTAAAAAATTTATTAGTTAACACGTTAGCGGACACGGACTGCTATAGCAGTCACCTCATATTCTCTGGAGGAACGCAGACTGCTTGTGCAGTATAAGTATGAATGGAAAAGATAAAGAAAGACTTTAACAGTGGTACAACAAATAATGACAAAGAGAAATGCTACTCTCATTGTCTCGATTAAAGAAAACCTAGAGGTTGTTTATATGCCCTTAGAGCTGTAATATATTTTGTTTTTGTACTAAAGATGCGTCTACTACTACAAGAATCCGCGTTTAACTCAATATCACAAAAAACGTGGACATGTCTATTTTCTGCATTTAGGAATTCATGTAATCATTCATACTATCGGAAGTCAAAGTGTCGTGCGATACTCTCCTTCGGATTGCAGATCAAAGTACCCGAATTTTTATTTAATTTGCATGGTTTATTAGAAGTTGATGGGTGCCCTATTACCGTAATTTTGTTTTTGTTGATATGACATCCATATAACAAATCTCAGTGGGTTACCGTTTCGATAATAATGGATGGGGTTTTTATCATCTGTAAGTCAACGAAATAGGAAAACAATTTAGGAGTTTAGTATACAGGTGAAAATATCCTTAATTATTGGAATATACCTATACAAAAAAGAAGGCATATCTGCTTATAAACAAAAAATGAGTAATATAATATAGAGAAGAAATGTGAAATTTATTTTAGATAATCTTTGATCAAAATTACGGTAATCATATTCTTTTTTCGTATTAATATTTGGGGACTGTGGATGTCCCAACAATTTGTAGGGTCAATTATAACTAACCTTGGAAGGCGTCACATGTTGAATCCAGTTAGTTTTTCGTATACTGTACCTATAAAAATGTAATTATTATAATAAACATTTTTCATTATACTTTGCTAAAGTAGATTTTATTTGTTTACAGAAAGCGTCCAGAAGCTGCCAACTTGTCTACCATAAAATCTCTGCGAGTGTTACGTGTTCTTAGACCATTAAAAACAATTAAAAGAGTGCCGAAACTGAAAGCAGTATTTGACTGCTTAGTGAACTCCTTAAAAAATGTGATAAATATTCTTATAGTGTATATATTATTCCAATTCATATTTGCTGTGATTGCCGTTCAGTTGTTTAACGGAAAATTTTTCTACTGTTCAGATGCTAGTAAATTTACTTCAGAGACCTGCCAGTAAGTATAACAAAGGAAAATACCCAATTTTAATTTCCTAGGTAACCTAATTCTTATAATTTGTTAAACACAAGTTTAATAAAAATTTAATACTAGTCCGAAATTTACTGAGAGAGATAAAAACATAACAGAAAGAACAAATGAATAAAAACTAAGAGGTATATTATTCAGAAGTCTCCGCCTCCTTTGACTTATTTTTCTCGACATCTTAAAAGGGATAAGATAGGAGGGATATCTGTATCTGTAACGTGTGGTTTAACCCACGGCACTTAGGCGTCACCAAGCGTCTCCTAGCTTGTGAGCCAGCCTAAAGATTTAATGTAGTTGACAACGTCGCCAAGAGGTGCTTCTTTTATATCTGCAGATATTAGCTAATTCTCACCGAAAACAAATTATCTAATACATAAGAGCATCTGGCTATCATAGAAGATATGCTCGATGGTCTGATTTTCTTGTTTGCACCTCCTGCAGAGTGCGGATTCTGACAGCCCCATGAATATGTCTAGTCATAGTTAAGTATGTTTGCTGTAGTTGTGTCAGGATAACTTAAAAGCTTCCTGGTAAGTCTGCAGTTTCTTGTTTCATCCCATCTTTTCTTAAATTGGCAATAGCCGGTCAGAATGCCTGTGACCAGGTGCAGATTCTGTCTTGTCATAGTCAAGTATTTGTTTGCTATAGTGTTGTCAGGATAACTTAAAAGCTTCCTGGCAAGTCTACGGATTCTTGTTTCATCCCATCTTTTTTTAAATTTCACAAGGGAATATTTAATTAGATTTGTTACTACCGATGTCGTCCCAATAGAAGAGCCAAGTTCAAAAAGTATTTGGTTGGCGGCCTTCTTGGCTAGTAAATCACCTTTCGATGTGGAGTGACCTTTGATCCATCTTAAGCTGACCACATTGTTGATGGATAGTTCGGAAGGGATATTGAAGCTAATATCTCTTTGGTCCTTTTATATTATTATATTAAATTCCTCTGTAATTTCGATGAATTATTGTGAGCTTGCATTGGCCAATTTCAACCAAGTTATAGATTGTTACTGAAACAAAGAAATTCTTTATTTGGATAATTATTTAGTACATTACGAAAAATATAATCTTTAAAAGTGTCTTTTTAGGTAGCTTTTGCCTTTTTTGGCATTATTAGACTATTATAAATGCAAACAAAAATATTCTGCTACATGCAAACATTTTAAACAACAAGATTGAAAGGAAGAAATATTTCAAATAAAGGGTGTACGAAAAGAAACAGGATTTAATAAAAAAAAGATAATAGAATAGTTATCAATTTATTTTAAAGGTGAAATATTGACATTAAAATGTGGAATAATTAGTATATATTTAACAAAAATTATTCCTGGTCTTTCTGACATGTCTAAATTTCTTTGATAACATTACATATCATTCTTTACCGTAAATGTGGTTCAATTTAGTAAATAACTCAGTAATAGATTAGATTTGGATCTATTGTGGATATCATTTAATCATTGGTTAGAGTCTCTTGTCTAATTTTATCTTTTGTAGTAGACTCCATAGATCAGAAAGTAGCTCTCTAGCCTAGCTCTTCTCCAAGAGTAAGAAACCTCGCTTTACAGTAACGCAATATAAGGTGTACTGCAGTGTCTTCCTATTCCTGACATCATCTGCATAAGGTCTCTTCTGTCAGGATAAATATGTTTGTTAATCCTACAATGACTTGTTAATAGGCCTACCTGTACTATAGTATTTTTCCTATTATGCTTAATAGATGCTTAGTTTTGGCGTTGGTTCTTTTAAGAACTCTTAGGTATATATCTGCATGTTATAATATTCGTCTTTGTGACGCCACAGAAGGGTTTCGGCCCACAAGCTTCTAGTATGGAATTAAGTACTTTTAACGTCGCTTGACTCTCTGAGTATATGACAATAGTTTTTCATTTATATTGTCTTTTGCGCTAATATATTGCTGCTATTTCTACCTTTTGGAGCCGTTTGTATACCAAGTGATTTCTGTGGGAATAAAAGGTCCATCCGTTGACGCTTCCTTGTCTGGTATACTTACTTTATATTGCTTTTCAAAGCTATATTTTGGGAGAATTTAGACTTGTTTAATATTTAGTCGGTCTCCAACTCTTTGTAAAGCTCGCTGTAGTCACGTCCATGCAGATTGCTTATGAGTGATGAACCTTTGTGCAGTCTATATTTGACGGACCTGGCTTCGCCTTCAATAAATATATGTAGCTTTAGTATACTTTCTAGGGCTGATGTTGAAGTCATTACTCCCATGGTACTAAAGCATGCTTGCCTTTGAATACCGCTAAGTATCGTTGAGCTGTCGAAACGCTTTAGCTTTCCAAGTTTTTGACTACCATAACATCGACTTTTAAGTTATTATAGGCTCTGTGACTATGGTATACAACCATACGGATATTTGTGGTTGTAGTTCCTAGTTTTTTCCGTACCACCTTTGATGTTAATTATTAGATGATGTGTTTTTTTTGGTGACTTTCTGCAAGTGTTGATTCCATGTTAATCTGTGGTCACAGATGGTAATAGGTAATAGGTAATAGTACTCCTTCTTGAGAGACGCTCCTGCCTGCTTTAGCCATCAGTTTAATAACTCTACGAATTCCTGCTTTTAATTTAAGAATCGTTTCTATTTTCGGAGCATAAACTTAAGAATTAATTTCATAGTTATGTACTATAAACAGTCTATTATATTTCTTTTCCAACAATTGGATTATTTTATGTACCATCCTCAATCAAACTACAAGCCTTTTAGTCCTTAAAAAATTTACCCTAACGATACCACTTGTTTCATTTAATAAATTTCTTCTGCGTCTCAGAGACACATTATACATACTTATTTGGGACATCTTTTGCTATTGAGTAAAATAAATATACTGACACATTTTTGTGATTGCAGAGGTCGGTTTTTTGTATATGAAGAAGACAGTGATGTGCCTACGGTACAAATTCGAGACTGGAGTCCTCAAAAATTCCATTACGACAACGTCCCTATGGCAATGTTGACGCTGTTTGCGGTTCAAACAGGAGAAGGATGGCCTCAGTAAGCAACAAAATAATTTAATATTTGTTTATTTCGTTTTAAATATCGAGTCTTAAGTTTATTGTTCATTTATACGTTACAGCATGGTATTATAGAGTAGAAAACCAAATTAAATAATAAGATATAACATTATAAAGTATAATAGAATAAAATATATACAACATAGAACAAAATAATATTATTTTAATGTGAGTCATTTCATTATTCAGTCATGCTCTAATCCTCAAAGTGCCTCTCTGTCTTATTTGGCCTTTGAGGGTTAACTTGTCCGATTATCATACATAATTAAACCCCTTAAGACCAAAAATATGTGACGACTATGACGAAGGCGCTTTCTAGTACATTCCAGATATAACGTGATAATGTTTCTAGTTTTGGCGGAGAGCATTCTAAAATCCACCAGAATTTTCAATGTGTATATAAATATTGGTGGAGGATTACGGAGTCAGTCAGTCGTAAGCAAATAGTTGTAAAGATAAATAGTGAACAATTTAAAAAAATTCATAATATATAAATTAGAATAGTATTATTTTAAAATAAATAAGTTTTCAAATAAATTATTAACAAATAAACTGTTGTTTAAATTGAACAAACATCACATTGGTGTCGAGAAGTGAAATAGTGTAAATAAATAGTGATTAAAATGACTAAAAGAATGTGTGATTTAAAATTGAACGTCAGGAGATAGGAGATCGCGAGTTGGAGACGACAATGGAAAGAGGAAAATCGTCGACCTACTTGGTAAGAAGTATCTTATCTCTCTCCAGTACCTAAGTCCTATTTGGCTCAGTGGGACTCTTTTATTCTGGAAGATGGCTTATTAAAGCGAGTACTTGAAAATGATGATGATGGTTCTGAAAACAGAAGAGAGCTGGTCATTCCAAAGAGTAGAATAGTCAAAGTACTTCGTCAGTTACACGACAGTCCATCAAGAGGACATCTCAGTATCAAGAAAACCCTGCAGAGAGTTCGGGAAAGGTTTTACTGGATGAACAGTTCCAATAATGTAAAAAACTGGTGTAAGAAATGTACCACCTATGCTATGAGTAATGGACCTCAACAAAAGGAAGGCTCCTATGAAGCAATACAACTTTAATAGCTCATTTGAGAGGATCGCTTTAGATATTGCTGGACCATTCCCCGTGACCGAGGATGGCAATAAATACATTTTGGTGGTTATGGACTATTTTACAAAGTGGGTGTAAGTCTACGCCATTCCAAATCAAGAGGCCGCAACTGTTGCAGATGTATTGATAAAAGAGTTTATCTGTCGATTTGGAGTGCCCTTGGAGATCCACAGTGACCAAGGCAGAAATTTTGAGAGTCTACTCTTCCGTGGAATCTTTGACATACTAGACATGAATAAGATCATTGGCAAATATCAGTCAAAAGTGGTTTCAAACCATCAGCGAGATTGGGATCAGTATATTTCGCTCTTTGCAATGACTTATAGATCCACTGTCAATTAATCAACAGACGACCAAACACCAGCAAAGGTTCTGTTTGGACGTGAGATGAGACTACCGTGCGATCTCGAGTTTGGATGCCGACCTGAAGAAGATGTAGCTGGTGAAGATTATGTGATCCAGTTACGAATAAGAATGAATTGATCCGCTCGCATCTTTAAATCGCCAGCGACAGGATGAAGAAACGGTACGATACTCAAGCTTCAGAGGGATGTTTCAAGGAAGGCGAAAAAATCTGGCTCCATAACCCAAATGGGTTATTCTCCGAAGCTTCAAAGGTGTTGGGATAGTACATAAAAACAGACTGGCACCATTTGAGGGTGACCATGAAGAAGAAGTAAACCAACTTCAAGAAACACCTGACCTTGTCTTTGAAGAATTTTTGGGTGCATATGGAGGTACTGGAAAAGACAGATATGGTGTTACGACCAAGCCACAACAAGATCTGCTATCGCTTCCAAAAGACTACTTTCTGGTCAATAGTACTTCCGCCAGCATCAACGACGCACGAGGACTGGCATATCTATTCCGTAAGAAGTTTGGTCGACTGCTAGAGGACTTCAATGTCATTTACCAGCCCCTAGAAAAGCCTTGAAACTTTAAGACGGATCGCGTTATTTTTTTCTATTTGATAACGAAAAATACCTTCCGAGATCGATCCACTTATCATGATGTAAGGAAAGCATTACGTAGTTTAAGAGAGCATGTACTGGAATCCAATGTACAAAAACTAGCCATGCCGAAGATAGAAGGAAATCAGCTGGATTGGAGAATCATTAGGAACATGGTGGCAGTAATGTTTTAAGATATCGGAGTCGAAATACTGGTCTGCAGCTATTCGCCCAGTGTCCAGGTTATAGCAAAGACAGTCCCTTGTTACTTCCATGCAACTGGAAATTGTAAAAAAAAGTTTAGTTGCAGATACAACCATTCCGGTTAAGTTTCGTAAGAGTTCCAGAACATTCTAGAACCTTCGCATTAGTCATCACATATGTTTGGTTTAAGGGGTTTAATTATGTATGATAATCGGATAGTTTGAGCCTCAAAGGCCAAATAAGACAAAGAGGGACTTGGAGGATTAGAGCATTACTGAGTAATGAAATGGCTCGCATTAAAATATTAAATCAGAAATTTTTCCTGGTATAAATATTCTTAAAACATAAAAAAAAATGTACATACCTAGTCTAATACAGAATTTTGTGTTGGTTCGATTGAATTTCCAGTATTAAAGCTTGGATTATTTACATCCATAAATAAAGATCTATACATGACGTTGCAACATGGAATTTGATTGATCAATAAATTAGGAAGAGTATTATTATTACAATATTATTATCATGTAATAAATCCAGGTATTTAAATTGTAATTGTACCGTTGCCAGGACACAAAGACTAAGAAAGATGATGTACACAAAACTGGAAAGAACTAATATTAAAAAATAATTATTTCGTAGCTAAAAAGAAATAAAAATTGAGAAAATATTTAAATAAACTAGACTCAATTTAATTAAAGCAAAGATATAGGTATATTAATATTAAAATTTAATGTTGGACATTGTTAAAGGTATAGTTGAATAATATAATAAGGTTTGTTATTTATTTGAGGGAAAATTTAATTAAAACTTTAAAATCTTTAACTAGACTAGTTAAACAGTTTAGGTAAATAGGTCTAAGATAAGTAAATTTATGTTTCTGCAACAGTTAAATAAAATACCTAAAAATTTAAATATTCAGTTATTTTATCTAATATGTGTAATTTAGCAAAATTGTTTACGTAAAATTCATACCATTATTGTTATCATTTTACATAGTCTACCTAACAGTATTATTAACCTAATTTAACTGTTTATATATTTTATGTATTTTAGATTAACTGTTTCCTTATTTCACTTACTTTCTTTAAATATTTCAGATATATTTTTGTGTTCTTCGGATATCTAGTTTATTTATTTTGTTTTAGGTACTTTTTATAAACTTTAATTTTTACAAATAAAACTTTCTCTATTTGCATTTTATTTTTATATTTTTCTCAGAGGCAGTAACAAGAAATGATTAGGGTGCTTATATTCCTAAAATGAATTTAGAAAAAAGTTTATTTCTGAACTAGTGAAAGAATTAACTACTAACTAAAAATCAAAATAAACGAATTTTAAGTATTTAAAAAGGTAATCAAAACAAATAGGGGAACTATAATTATTCAAAGTGAGATTAGTTTTTTGAAAAATATACTAAGGCTGAGTATGCTTTCATTTATATATGATATTTTGGTAACCTAATAGTAAACTGTCTTTATTTAATAAATATATGTATAATATTGAAGAATAACTAAAGTATTTCATAAATTTTTAATCTTCTCAATTTATATCTAATTTCCAAATACAAAACTATATACCAAAAACATAATATAATGATTGTTCTTGTTTAAATATTTTTGAAAGGTCATAATTTGACTCAATTTAAAAAGTTGTTTCGGTACTTCTGAAATGAAAGGATCATAAATGTTTGTATAATCAAAATAAAACTTTGTGATTTAAATAAAAAGTATCTTATGTAGGCACTATTTGTTATATTCATCAATATATCTAGTCGTGTATCTAAATACTACTTGATAAATAAAATAAAATACACACTATTCATTTAAAAAAAAAATATTTTTAAAAATAGTAAAATGAATCATTCACAGATTATTCACAAATTTGTAAATTTTTAATTAAATCTAGGTCACTGGTCATAAGATAAGTCAAACAAAAATGAACACACCTTTAAATATTTTCACATATTATTCGTCATATGTCAATTATGTACCATAATTTTATACCCCCATGGTAAATAAATGGCTGACCTACTTCTATTACTCAAAACTTTGTGGCAGAACCGTTGTCTTCATGGAACACATTGTTTCCGAATGTGATGATGATGGCTTCTCAAATAATGAGCTTGAAGCTAAATTATTTTTTAATATGATTTATCACGAATGCGGAACGGCTGAGTTGCGCTGTTTAAAACCGATAGCTGGTTTGTGTTTTTTTATTAAATAATTTATTTGATACGGACACTTTGTCTACCAGTTAAACTTTTTAAAAAAGTTAGTTATATGTAGTTCAGTTAACTCTTTAACTAGACTAGATGTATTGTTTATGTAACAAGCAATGCACAAAACCAAGTTACCTGGATCAGTTATAAATTCAACTTGGGACAGCTGGCGCTTCTCAAAAATTTCCGTTTATCTGAAATTGTTATACGGTTTACTTAACCAAATAAAAATTTTAAATATTACCGAACATTTTATACTGGTCCAGATAATAATTTTTGGATAAACTGTTTAGGTAAGGCTATTTTCCCAGTGTATGTTGTGTATATCGAAGTTTTTTTTTATTAAAGTGGTATTCATTACTATTTTAAGCTAATAAAAAATTTAAATGCTTGATTTAAAAAAAAAATAAAAATACTTACAGAATGTTTGAAAACCTACAAATATAAGAATATTATTTTTTATATTGAATCCTCCTTGAGTAAGAGAAAAACTAATAATTATAATTTAGAAAAAAATAAATAATTCATATACGAAACGATAAATATGGAAGATCATAATCACTTAACCAACACGTTCAGGGGCCATGCAGTTTTTTATATAAAAGATGGTAACCAAAAAATGCATATAACAACATAACCAAGTTAATAGGGAAATCTTTAACCCGTATATTTTTGTGCTAATTCATTTTGTTGAAGATTGCTGCAAAATTTGATTTTTAATTTATTTTGAAAGCTAATTTCTTTTGTAGGATTCTTCAAAATTCCATGGCTGCCACTTATGAGGATCAAGGCCCTATTCAAAATTTTCGAATAGAGATATCGATTTTCTATATTGTATATTTCGTAGTGTTTCCATTCTTCTTTGTAAATATATTCGTGGCCTTGATCATCATCACATTTCAAGAACAGGGTGAGGCTGAACTTCAAAGCGGAGAGATTGATAAGAACCAGGTAAATGAACCGAAATATCATTAATCATCAAAACACGGTAATTGCGGGGTTAAAAACCCTAATTTATAAAAAATAATGTGTTTAATTCTAAATATTATGTATGCATTTGTAGAAATCTTGTATTGACTTCACAATCCAAGCTCGTCCCTTAGAAAGGTACATGCCAAATAAGAGGAATAGCTTCAAATACAAAATATGGAGGATTGTTGTTTCAACTCCCTTTGAATATTTTATCATGATGTTAATTGTCTTCAATACGTTATTATTGATGATGAAGGTAAGTGTTGTTGACACATTTATTTTGATATACATGATATAATAACCCTTTATTGTATATTTAATTCGAATGTACCAAAATTCACAGAAACTTATGATTTCCTGTTTTTAGAATACGTAATATTTTTTTAATTCTGTTGAAAAATGTGTGTTAATAATATAACGTTTATTTTGGTTCCTAACTTACAGACAAAACATTTCTATTACCTAAATTCTATTTCTCTAATTTTAGAAAAATTATATCCATCATTGATGTCCTTTTTTGAACAAAGAATTGAAAGTTTAGTAGAGGGACTAAAATATATTATTTTTTAAGTGTACAATACCAGAAATAAAATGTTTAGCAAATGCACCAAAACATGAATCATCAAAAGGGAACTCAGGCAATATAGCTTATGTTCTTCTATAGATTTTTTGCTCTTCAAACCCAAGATTTTCCATACGGTAAACATTTCGTTTCTGAATGAGATTTACCATAATAAATATTAATTAGGGTTCGGTTGACAAGCTTGTTGGGATAGGACTTCTTATAACATACAATTTTCAACCTATTTCATTATCTTTTAGTTAGTTTGCATACTACAAACAAATATAAAAAATAATAAGATTATAAAATAATTTTATAATAAAAAAAATATATTATCTATTGCTAATAATTTAAGTTTAATGGCAAATGTTCTTCATATATAACATATAATTTTTAGAACATTTTCATAATCATGATTTGTTTAGCTTTATAAAATTTTAGTCTAGTAGTATTTAGTTTATTTCTCTGTATTTGAAAATATTAAATTTAGTTAGAATAATTAGATACGGCATCAAATATAATCATTTCCTTTATTGAAATGTCTATTTAAACATATAAATGTGGTTATTTATTATTGTATTTTAAAATTAAGTACACAAATTATTTTTGATTTTTCTGTTGAATTTTGGTAAGTCAATGTTCCACTATAAAAGTCGGCAACCAAAAGGAACCATAATGGCTTATCTGGGGTATCTACCTCCTTCCTGTAATCAAAGTACCAAAAAGTAAACCAAACTACACACTGAATGCTTGAAAGCATTGTGCACATCGTAAGCTTGAGGCCGGTAATCAGCATCTATATGTATATGTTCGTGTGTTAACGAAATTGTGGTAACTGTTTCTTACCCATATACAGTGTGTCCTAAATGTTTAATAAATGCGTTGTTTCATCATTAACAGTTGTTTTCAAGAGTTTTATATTTCTTGTGGAATGTTTTTTTAAGAAATAAAGCAAGATTTAACAATTTAATTTTTTTTTAATATAATTGAGGCTAAAATCTTAAACAAGGCTCAAATAAAGCTGGTAAACCATATTTTAATCAGCAGTCCAATAAATTTGATAAAAGTGATACACTACATTGACCATTTGTCAAGCTAAGATATGTAGGAACATATTTATAGTAACCACTAATTGGATTTTATGAAATATGTCAAAAAAGTTGCTTATTGCTTATTGCTTATCTTAGTAAGTATAGTAACGAATAAGGCCATATTTTATTTTTATAATTAGATATACTTGTGTTTAAAATTAATTAATTAATTTGAACAGTTTTCGTTATATAATTAAAATGGAAAATAAAGTAAAAAAAAAATATTTTTAAACTTACTGAAATAGGTAATTAAAAATTAAATGTATGAATAGAATATACTCATTAAAATAGTTGATAATTACTTAATGTAAAACCAAGCATAACTATCAAAATATAATAGATTTGATAATGAAGCTTAAGAATAAATGATAATTAATACAATTCTCAAATTAAACTGACTAAAAATAATAAAGAAACTTTCGTAAAACCTTGAAAACGACTTTAATAATGAAACAAAAAATGGTAATATTAATGTTTAGGATATAGTGCAGAGTAACATTAGGATCCAGTACAATATTCTAAACCAGCTGTATCTAGGAATATTATGACGTTTAGAAATAACAACAAAATAGTTTCCCAAGTAATAGTTAAAATTTAGAGCTAGAATAATCATATCCACATCTTTATTTTCTTGTCATAATAGTAGAGATAATACTAGTACAATATTCGTTCTAAGTAATTATTATTGGAATGTTTAAAATAAAACAGGTGTTAAAATAATTTTAAATGAAGGTTCTAAACTACATTCTAAAAGTAAAAAATTAATTATAATCGAAATAGACTAATATGATACGTTCTCAGAATAGATTAACAAGTTTAAATACAAAACAAATGTAGACTATTTGTATACAGTTTTATATAGAATCATTAAGAGTTAAAATAACATGAAATAACTTTTATCATAAACCAAACCAAGTTTTAGAACCATTTTCTGAAGAAGTTTCAGATTGAGATTAATATTCTCCTAGTTTCTTAAATATAGAAAAAATTAATAGATTTTCTCAGATATGTTGGAGAATAATTATAATTACACAAAAAGTTTAACATAAAAAGCAAAAATTAAAAATCCGTCCAGTAGGTTGAATAAGTAACCTGCAGTAGGTCAGCGGTGTTTTTCCTTAAATTATCTCCGCTTGCTTAAGGGTTCTTTTCGATTTACAGAGTAAAGTTGTGGACTGTAGTATATGAACAATCTTGTAAAAATATTGTTGATAGGTTGATAGATTAATTGTCGTGGAATGCAGAAATTAAAATGTTTGTTTCTGTTAACTTGTTTATTTTAACTTTGTATTCTATAACCGCGTAAAAAATTGAGTAGTAATTTTACGTGTAATTAAGTTCAAAACATGCTGGTTTTAAAAAGCTTTCTATATTTGTTTTATTATTACAATTGCGAGTTATTCGCGTGGAGATTGATTTTGTCTTGCTAGCTTGGAGGTTCGAATAGTTCTCTCTTTTATAAATGTCTCGTTGCGTCGATTTAAGAGGGTGTCTTGTAATTACTTTAAATAAATGGTGTAGTTTGAACAAGTTTGGCATGGAAAGAGACAGAGTGATGTGTTACAAACTGTTGAATAAATGAGTCGTCCACTTGCATCCATGTTAGCAAATCTTTAATAAAAATATTCGTTTCTGAATATGTAGATGTATTATACATAATTTTAGGAACTATTTAAAAAAGTGTCTTCCCATAATCAAGATGATATAGAGAAAAGTACTCTGTATAATGTAAAAATTACTTATCACAATGAAGTAGGGCTTTATCAAAAGGTAAAAGAGGTCTTATCTACGATGAAAAGTCTCATCTCTCGCTTTCTCTAACATCCAAATCAGTACGTCTCCAAACAGCATATTATATCCTCTTTCGGATCCTTAAATCGTTATTTATTATCCAAATCAGCAAATACTTGTAGCCTCTAAACAGTTCAGCCTTCTAGACATCAATCATTCTTTATATCACCAAGAGAAAGGATCTTCCAAATCATTCTTTATATTACCAAGTAATAAACCATCCAAATGTTGCCAAGCTGAAAGATTTCTACCTTTTAATGGATAAATCGGATAGGTAGGACAGATGAGACAAACGTTTTAAATAATACTATTTCTTTAGATAAAGTAACAACTTCAAAGGTGTCGTCTTATAAAAAATATGAACTCAAAAAGTTAAATAGAAAAGTAATCTCTGTAATCATTGAATAAAACAAAACAATATTTGATTTAACACTTACCATATTTAGTCTAATGTTTTTAAAAAAATCAAAAAGCATGAGTTTGTTAGTGGACGTTTATTTATATAAATTTGTCTTTTCGACTCTAAATTTAGAAAGAAATACAATCAAAAATGAATCTCGATTGACAGACAAATTGTCTTCTAAAGGAAAAAGATGGGACAACAGAGGTGTTTAAAAAATAACGGTGTGAAAAATATACCGGTACAATATTTTATATTATAAAATAAGGTTACAAAAACTTGAACATCTGGAAAAATTGAGAAAAACAACATTTCGGAAGAAAAGAAAAGTCTAAAAAATTTAAACAAATTTTAAGAAAGTTAAACGAATTGAGTTCTGATATTTAAATATTGGATTGTGATATTTCTTTGAGAACATTATAAATATCTTCTTTAGCTGAATTCTGAGAATATTTCATTGTTGGTTAATTCAATAATTTGTATGGGACCGCTTTTAAAACATACTTTATGTTGGATGTAGCCGGTTTTGCAATGCATCCCCATATTTGAGCGCAGATTTCAGTCGAATGGAATTGCTTGTAAAATAATCCGGTTATAGTATAATATAAAGCGCGTTTCATAGTATACTATCACACTTTAAAATTCGTTTTCAAAAATTTTTGCAAGTAGACGACTCAAGAGTTGGAATTTATTTTAACAATTTATTTTAAACGGGCCTAAGCGGATGCGAGTGAAATATGTCTGTGAGTGGGAGCAAGTGAGAGCATGTTTATTTAAACGGAATTTTTCCAGAAAGTGAGAAAGCTATATCGCCTGAATTTTTCAACTGCTTGCAGATGTTTTGTTGTCAATCGGAAGCTTTTTTTTTATATTTGGAAATACGGTAAATGGCATTTATCAGCGTTGGATTTGATTTTAGTTTATTATTTATGTAACTGAAGCGTAATTTTAATTTTATGTAGGATTATTAAAATAGGTAATGCAAATTACAGATTGAATATAATCAAATGTACTCTTGTTTTTATGTTAACTATGCTTATTACGTTATGTTATTTATAAAAAGAGTATTTAAAGTATCTGTTAAACATAAATATAGTAAACTATGGTTTTACAAAAATGCATAAATGACGGTATAAAATGGATAATAGTCATTGAACAGATAATATGGTAAAACATAAGAGATCAATAAAATTAAGTGAAACTTATAAAGTAATCAATTACATGGAGAAAATAAGTGAGTATAGAAATATCATTAGATGTCCCTTTTCCCTTTATATTAATAACATTTCTACTCTCACGTTTTTTCCATGTTGTTAATTATTTAATGAGTTATACTTGCATTTAATAAGTTGTTTTGTTTTCTAATATTATAGGTATCTGTTAAATATGAGTAAACTTGTATTTTCTATCAT